CAGATCGCAGAACTTGCCGGCTACACTGCAAGGGTGCATGAAATGTTCAGAGTTTTTACAGACGTTAAAAAGGGCAAATATCAACGCACTCAAGTTGGAGGTGATGTGCAAGGAGGAAATAGGGGTGAACGATTGGATACATCCAAAATTGAAGGTAGGCAGATTTTTTTTACTACGAGATTCTAATCGCTGTAAGTTATTCTCAAATAATACAAACAAACATACCCCTTCTGATTACATTATTCCTTTAGCTTTTCTTACGTCAACTTTTGAGATTTTAATGATAACTTTTGAAAATTATGTTGAAAAACCAGTAATTTTACCAAAACAAAGGACTATGTTTAAGAGTTGAAACCCCGATTTTTTTTTCGAGCTTCAGATGTACGAACTGCTCGAATTAAGCCGTACAAAAAAATATATCGCTAAATTATAGTGCCACATGTTTGATAAAATGCTTCTCACAAAAAATTCATTCTTTGAAGTGGGGACTAGTCGAAAGACTAAATTGACTGCTTTGTCAGAGAGGCTCTTTATCTGTCTGCTACACCTTTCCTGCAAAAATAAAGATCATCAATAAAAGATCGAGTGGAACTTGGTAAATGTTATTCAATTATCTTATCTGAACAGAATGAATAAACTTACCAAAAAAAAAACTAGTAAGTGGGGTATTGGATGGTATCACGGATTTCGTCATCACCAGAGAGATGGCCATAAAAGCGTAGAAGCTTCGTGCGAGTTGCAACTATTGAAACTGGCGCCCTCTTTATTTGCCTTATGTAGTTGAGCAAGGTAAAGTGCCTATTTGCCTATTTATTACAGAGACAATTTGCGAAACGATCTTTTTATTTTCACTAAAGTGATCATCAAATGACTTGTATCGAAATTTAGGAGAAGTGATTGAATCCGATGATAACGCGATAGTACTCGAAGAGGTACCAATTGTGACACCGAATGGAGATGTAGTCGTGAGAAACATGTCTTTAGAGGTGAATCACGGAAATTCGAAGCTTAGAATTTTATGTGTCGTGTTGCAGATCAGGCCCGGAATGCATGTGCTGATCACCGGCCCGAACGGCTGTGGAAAAAGCTCTTTGTTTCGATTATTAGGAGGACTTTGGCCGGTATATCGAGGAAAGGTGAAGCGACCGTTCGTAGATCGAATGTACTACATTCCACAGCGACCTTACATGACCCTCGGTACATTGCGAGATCAGGTCAGTACTCTTGAATCACTAAATGACAGCTGAGCATGAAGATTTTGAACAGGGAACTGAGGAGAGTATGTGTTTTTACAAAAGAATGAATTCAGGTTATCTATCCAGACACTGTAGCCCAGATGGAGGCCAAAGGGTTGAGCGACACAGATTTGGCGATTATTCTGAATGTGGTCCACCTTTCCCACATCGTGGAAAGGGAAGGAGGTGAGTAAAAGGAGCGAGCTCACATTTTTATCTCTTTCTGTTCCTGTTACTCCGTTGGATCCTATTCTTTATTTTGAAGGCTATTTTTTGCAAAAAAAAA